GTGGAGAAAGGCCTCTGGATCAAGATACCCGACCGGGTACACGGGTTTACCCGACTGGGTATGCGGAAAAAATAGAAGTGCGTTTTTTTTTGGGCCCGCGGCTCTAATTTGTTTTTAGGTTTTCTATGACCTATTTAAACGACTCTTATGTACTTGTAAACCCTGACGCACCGACATAATAATATACTGCTCTCTATCGTTCGTCGTGGACTAACACAATCACCCCGATTGTGTGAACCACACAAATTCTTGTATTCTAGTTCTTTAATTTATCGTTTTACTTAACCTTAACCATAACACATTTATTAATGACTAAAGGATCAAATAGGCTCTTGTACCTTTCCCAATTGCTCAATTTGCCCCCTAAATTCAAAAAAGTTCCAATTGACATCATGAACTCGATAAAAAGATTCAAATTTCACTTTTTGCAGGTGATCCAATCACTGTCATGTCACCTGATAGGGTGACAACTGTGCATGTGACGTGGCAATTGAAGGGGTCAAATAAGCTCCTGAACCCGACTTAATTGTTCAATTCGCCCCCTCAACCCTTGAAAAAGTCAAGATTACGAAAATAGAAATAAAAATAAATATATATTTAAAATTACAAGTCAAAAATATAAAATATAAATATGAAATATTTATATATTTTTTGGTAAATGCAAAATAAAGAAATAAAATACTATCCTCTAATCTTTAATAGTTGCAACAGTTTGACTTTCACGTGCCAACACACAACTTTGACCATAATTAAATTTAATTACGTATTATCGAACATTTTAAAAGTTGATATCTTAGAAATCCACATTAATAGAAATTTAATAACATTTTATACCTAATAATTTGATGATGTATATTAGTAAAAAACGCGGTCAAAGTAAAAATGTGTGAATAGTGCAAAAAATCATAATGTTGCAGTAATTAAAGAACGAAAGAAGTATAAACTAAAAAGCAAAAATTCTTGAACTTTATTTCCAAATCATATATTTATGTATTTCCTAAAAAATGTAAAAGTTATGTGTACATACAACACACACAATACTGTTCGCTCTTTCCCATGCAAGATATAAACTATCGTCCTTTGATGGCATCTTTATTGTTCCATCGACAAAACTCAGCTTCTGCTTTAATATCAAGCTCATTTTCATCGATCTACACCAATGATGATAATTGTCTCCAGCGGGGACTGGAGAAACAAGAGAGATTGCAGGATTTTCGTTAGGATGCACATAATAAAGTGAACACGGATTTTGAGTTGGATCATCACTTATCGTGGTTGTTGTTGAGCTCGGAGTCATTGAAATGAATATGATGATGATTTGATTATTGAAGAATCTCTGATACCATCTTAGATAATATGCAAAGATCACAAAATGAATTGCAGAGAATTAAACCGTAAGAAACTTGAATATGCTACTGAGAGTAAGAAGAGGAAAATGTTCGTTCTCTCTGTTATTGGTGATCGTATCAACACACACACACACACACACACACACATATAGAGAGAGGAAAGTTCATGTCCGGAATTCCGGAGAGGAACCTCCGTTCGGACGGCCTTCCCGGTGAATTTTTTTGATAAAATTTTTATGTCATGTTCTTCATCAAGTCTAGTTTATCCACAAAAGTTCCGGTTCCGTTCCGAAATTGTCCCTTTAAATTCGGGACAAACTGTTTTTGTCCCGTTCCGGTCCCGAACCGTTTCAAAACAAAACGGGACCAGGACAAATAAAATATGTCCCGTTCCGTCCCGTTGTTTTGAATTCAAAATTGTATATAATTTTGGGTTAGTGAGTCTGCCATCAATTCAAATACTAATGAATATTAATTAGGTATTAGTTATCTAATATGTAAAACACCTAAAGGAGTTTAAATTATCAAGTATATGAACTATCTTCTACATACTAAAAGGAAACTCACGTACTCCACATGTTTCACTTCTAATAATATTGTTGTCTTTTTTTATTTTTGCAGTTTCTTAGTAGTATTGTGTGTGTTGGAGTTATTGTTGTTGTTACAGTTTGTGTCGTGTAACTATCTTATTAATCTACTATTTTTTGTGTTGCATTTAGCGTAAAAAAAATTATGTGTTGCATTTTTAGTGTTGTAGTTTTTTCACTTTTTGTCATGAAGTTTAGTTTTGGAGCTGTGTTTTTTCTTGGGATGTCCCGAACCGTCCCGTTCTGTTCCGGTACCAGTTTAAAAGGGACAATAGCGGGACAACGTCTTGTCCCGTCCCGTTCTGTCCTGTTATACTAAATCGGGTTCGATACCGTGATAGTCTAATTCTTGTCCCGTCCCGTCCCATCCCGTCCCGTGTCCACCCCTAAGGAAGGCCGTCAAATAATTTTTGGAAGTTAACTGCGTTTTATATGTATTTTCCGGCGCAGTGATATTTCAAAAATCATTTGACTGTCTTCCCGATTGTGTTTTTATCTGAGTTTTTGTGTGGATAAACTAGACTTGATAAAGAACATGTCATAAAAATTTCATAAAAAAATGCTACCGGGAAGGACCCCAAATGACTCCGTCCGGATAGCGCTTCCGGTCAGGAACTCCTGACCGGAACACTACTCTCTCTCTATATATATACACACACAATCACAATGCTAGAGAAGAAGGAAATAAGAATCTAGAAATATTATCTCAACTAATTAACTGTTGACTAAATCATAAGCTAGTTAAATATCAGTTTCAACAAACTAATCTATCTGCCTTGTTTCCTGTTGAGCTCTTTTCTTCCTTCAGTGTTGTTGAGCCTTTATCCTTTAGCGTTAATAATGCAGGTCATTATTTGCTACTCCCTCCGTTCCAATATTATCTTCAAACTTTTCTTTTTCGTCTGTTCCAAAATTATCCTGTATTTCTCTTTTTGACAATGAATTTGTTGTTCACAACATTTCTTACACATTTCTCTCTCTTGCACAATTCTCCACCACACAATACTCATTATTTTAATCTCTTGCCATATGTTTAGGAGATAATATGGGATGAAGGAGTGCTCTTTTTTTAGCGGGCCGGGGAAGAATGGTCATGGTGGCTTGCTCTTTTTTTGAGGGTTGATAGCTTGTTGTTTCGGTAACTTGAGTGAGAGGAAGTGGTGTGGCGAGGTTGAATTGCCTTCATAAGAAATATGGGGTGAGTGGAATTTAGTACTCCCTCAGTCCCACTAAAATTGTCCCATATCATATTTGGTAAAGTGTGTGTGACTTACGGGCGGGTGAGGATCAGCACTCTGCCACCTAGGACAGAGGTAGTATATGTTTGTTAAAAATATTTTATTTTGATAAGCAGAACAAATACTCTTTAGTGTAATTTTATATTTTCGAGTCTCATTTTTTAATCTGTTAGCCATACGATGTACTCCAACAAGTTAGCAACAGATCTGTCAGCTGTGATACAGACAGATCTGCCGAAGAAGCTTAAGGATCGAGGTTCATTTACTATTCTAGAGGATGGAATGATTAGTCTATGGTTTCAGTTGGGGGTGCAAAATATAATCTTAATCCACTAATCATGAATATAGTCATGTCAAAAGTGACCCTAAAAACCCAGAGTTCCCTTATACGTCTTATATTTTATAACATCAAATATACTCCCTAAGAAGCCAATCAAAATTTTGATTATTACTTTATCATCTTTTTGATTCAGTTAAACTTGTACTTTAGTTTTTCATTATCTGATCTAAATATCTCATGTGAGTCAATTCAAAATCATATATCTCATGTGATGTTTTTACTTGGACTGTAATTTGCTGGTCTGGTCTGGTCTGTTTTGATCTGGTCGGATCTGGTCTGGTTTGAAATTTTATTTTTTATGTTTTTTGCATAAATATATTAGTTTTTATAAATATTATAATACATAAATAATTATATTTTATTCATTTATAATTAAAAATAATAATATTCCTTCCAAATTATCGAATATTGTTATCGTTTTACTCGGACTGATTTCAATCCTAGACCGAAGCAGATCAGACCAGATTATACAAATACATAACAATAGTAATAATAGGTATAATACTAATAATACCAATAATAACAATAATAATAACAATAATAATAACAACAACAACAACAACAATAATAATAATAATAATAAAAATATAATTTGGTATGGTCTAATCTGGTCTGGTCTGGTCTGATCTATTTTAGTCTGGTCTGGTCTGATCTGGTCTGGGACGAATTACAGCCCAAGTAAAAACAACCTTACCCCAATCAACTATTTTTTTTCATTAAATGATTCCGTTGCAGTTTCTTTTGGAAGCGGGCGCGACCGGCTTTCGAGAAAAAAATCTTAGCCCAATCAACTAGTTTTCCACTAAACACTAAACTTTTAATTATAGGCATTGAGTTTTGTAATAATACAAAAATTAAAGTTTTAGTTACTTTTCTAATTGAATTAATTGAAGTTAATGTAGATGACGATTTTAACAATTTTGCCAGTAATTTTTTTCTTAATTATGTTAATAAAACATACCCTGTATATAAGTTTCTTGATGTCGAAACAAATTCAGTCACACCAACTAGATTTTTACTAATGTCTTAGATTCAACAATTTTTAGTGTTAACAAAGTGCTCTAATTATATACTCCCTCCGGGCTCCGTCCCATTAGACTTTACCAACTTTCTCTTTTTGGGTGTCCAAACAAACTTTGTCACTTTCCTATTAAAACAACTAATTTGCGTTTCTAGTCAATTCTTTCCTTTCTACACAAACCTCAACCACATAGTTTTTAGTTTTCTTATTTCTCACCCCCTTTGAAATTAGGGAAGTTCACCGTGACGAAGGTAGTACTCCCTCTGTCCCATTTAAACGTTTTCACGCGTTTTACGATGTTTGACTGACCATAAAGTTAACTGATCCCTATCATAGTAGAACTATTTTTAGTAAATAAAATTTACATATTCAGAAACTACATTAAAATCGCTACAAAGCTTGATCAAGAAAATTTAAATTTGATAAAAATTTGATATATAAAGTAAAAGGTTAACGATAATGCACATTGACTGGAGAATAGTGGAACACAACCTTTAAGTGGGAGGGATGAGGTAAAGATTTCTTAGAGGTTAAGGTAGTGAGCTGTAATGCAATACTCCCTAATAGTATCGTAATGTATAGTAGCTTAAAAAAGGAAATGGTGGTTAGATCACTTAGATGTGATTTGAGCCGCTTGAGGATAAATAGTACTCCGTACTGTGTAAATCAAGCATACCACCAAATTAATAGGCGGTTTGACAACATTTTTTTTCGGCTTATCAATCATCTTTTTTATCAAACACGTAATTTTTACTTTCGTACGCTGAATTATATAATAAGCAGAAAAAGTAAGGTTGAAGTTACTTTTTGGCTGTATTGGCTGAAGTTACTGTAGAAGATCATTTTAGCTATTTTTACATATATTTTTTCTTTTTTTTATTCATAAAATATATTTTAAAATTATGTTTTTCTTAAATGAGCAGAATCAACCAATGCAGTCACTTCAGCCAGAACTTCATAAATTTCAGCAGAATCAACTAAATCAGCCCATTTTCGTGCTACCCAACTAGCTCTAATTGCCGTGACGCTTAATTACGGCAGAAGTGGCGCGGCTGCAAGCGGTGGGTACAGTGTCTTCTCATTTTCCAAGTGAAATCTAATTATGACTAATTACCGGCGCGGGCCGCAGTCCCATACACATATACAGAGTAGAGGCCGCCGGCTGGCTTTTCATTCACTCATTCGAAATTACACAGTGAAAATTCAGAAAAGATCGAGTGACAGAAATGGGAGTTCCTTCGTTTTACAGATGGTTAGTGGGTAAATACCCCAAAATAGTTGTGAATGCAGTTGAAGAAGAAACGGATTCCAGCTTGCCCAACCCCAACGCAGGATTGCTTCACGAGTTCCATAACTTTTACGTGGACATGAATGGGGTCATTCATCACTGTTTTCACCCCGAGGAAGCGGTACCTGCCTGCCTTTCTTCTTCTCTTCGTCTTTCACTTTTCACCAAGAGAATCTTATACTCGTAAATTTCTACCAAGGCTGGTAAAAATTTGGAACGAACCTAAGATCGATCGAATCCCGTTAGCTAGTGACAGTTTGAGATCAATCTCTCAAAATTTATTACGGAGTAATAAATTTCAAAAAATATTCTTTGCTAGTTGTTTCTTGCTTGCTTCATAATTTTGTTGTTGGCTTAATGATTAATTAATTTTCATATATCATCAGCTCTTTCCTCCTACAACAAACGAGGAAGTGTTTGAGGCCATATTTGATTACCTTGACCGCCTCTTTAACATTGTACGCCCTCGGAACCTGCTTTACCTTGCAATAGGTCCGTTTTCACCTTAGCCTCAATTCCTTTTTTAAATTATATATAATTAAATTATATATAATTAAATACGAGTTAATCATATATATATAAGTAGGATTACAATTATGTACACAATTTTACCTTCTTTAATGTAAACTATAAACCATCATTTGATGTCATTTGCAGATGGAGTCGCCCCAAGGGCGAAGATGAACCAACAGCGGTCTCGGCGTTTTAGGACCGCTAAGGATAAGCAGATAATGGTAATTTATTTTTACACTTTTCTTTTTTTTTCTTCTTTTTTCTTTTTTTATTTACTTTTAATCTTTTTACCACGGGGCAGGGGAGGGTGTTGGAGGATCCTACGGTAATTGGGTAAACAAGACTTAAACTTCTTCCATAGAGTTTCAAATTCTAAACCTCCGTCATATGAGAGTGAGAGAGTGAGTGGGCGACCACTAAACTGGACTGCTTCCTCTTATCCTTGCACTTCTTTTTTGGAATGTATTTTAGTTTTTCATACGCCCTCTCAGCAAGTTTTCTTTTTAAAAAACCCAGTTACTCATACTTTTTTTATTTTTATCTTCTCTTTGATACTATATCATCTTGCACGTACTTTGTCTACACTATTCATTACACAAATAATAGAAACCACAAATTAATTGTCAAAAAAAGAAAAGTGATAATTTTTTCTGAATAATCAGAAATGAAAATTGTCAAAGTTATAAATTTTCTTGAGTGCATGTGGTAGTGAAAACATACATATGTATATATACAGGAAGAGGAGGAGATGAAGCTAAGGAAAAGGTTTGCAAGTGAGGGTAAGCAGGTGCTGGAGAAAGAGGAGTCTCAAGTGTCAGACTCGAATGTAATCACTCCTGGCACTGCCTTTATGTATACCCTCTCTCTCAAGCTACAAAGTTACATCCAAAACCAGATCAAATCTAACAAGGGATGGAATGATATCAAGGTTTGTGCTCATCTACAAAGTACATGTTTCGTTAAGTTAATCATATTTTTTAATTGGGCTGATTTCAGTCTTAGACCAGACTTAAAAAGACCATTTCGTTTCAGAGTTTCATATCAGATTTGAACAATTGTAAAATGCACATAGAACATACGTAGTACATCTATTAGACCATATTTGAACAGGCACGATCAATCTAGAAAATTACAGTCCAGCTAAAAACAAATCTCCAACGGCCCGACCACATTATGTAAACTAATCCCAGCCCAGTGTTTGATTTTCAATCTCCCATTTGATCAATAAGTCATACTTTCAATAGACCTGCACAAACAACAGCTGGCCCATCCACATAAATGGCCGGACTTGGACATATATATATTTACCCACCGGTCTAGGCCCTCCACACAATAGCATATGGGTGGGCTTGGAATAGGGTGTAGGAACGTTCATGCTGATCAGCCTAACCCGCTGCATTTAATATATATACATGTATATGTATATTTACTGATTTGTTTATGTATGTTTACATTGTCTATTTTATCTTTATATATAATTATGGTTCATTGTGTTTAATTATAAGGTTTTAGTTATAACAACTAGCTCAACCGATATAATATATATTTTTATACTTAAAGATAATACTTTGTGTTTGAATTTTAAGAATGATAGTTTTTCATTATTATTTTTGTGTAAGTATTTTTTGTATATGTGGTGAGAGAGGCCTATATACATTATAAGCATATTAATACTTTTTAAAATGTTATAACATTATTTTAAGTGTTAAAAATTGTTTATATGTTTTTTAAAATTTTTAAAGTTTTCCATGACAGGCGGCCCACTGATGGACTACCCAGCCAGCTCTTACGGGCGGGTATTGACATGTGGTTAGGCCCGTTTGTTGCGGGTTCGGTCTGGGCCTTCCCACATGAATGGGCAGAAAATTTAGAAAAAGCACGGGCCGACATGAACTCGAACCCGTTTTTGTGTAGGTCTACTTTTCAATTACCGCTGCGCCGATCCTCAAAAATGTGTTATGTTACATACTGTATTGCAATGTTAAAATGTAACTCATATTCAAAATATTAAGTACTCCAATATTCATCAAAATAGAAAAAGTATTATATTGGATTGTAATTCAACTTTTAATTTTTGCATATGTTTTCTTTAAGGCATGACAGCTACGTAGTATTAACTAATATTGGAACCCAATTGCATGTATTTAATCCACAAATTAATCACTCTCTCATACAAAGTATATTGTTTGCTAAGCCAATTCCTCGCTATTATTCTTATCAAGCCATATTTATTATTAATGGTCAATACTTTAATTCTGATATATTCATTCCAACCGCAAATATATACCAATATGTATGTCGCTAATAAATTCCTCTTTTTAATTAATTAATTTCTTCATTTGTTCGACTGTAAATAAGTACTTAAAAATTATAATTTTCAAAAACCAATTGCAAGTATTACCTCCGTCTCTGAAAAGAAGTTCTCACTTTCTTTTAATGGATATCCCAAAAAGAAATTCCCATTTCTATATATGGAAATCACTTTTTTTTACTCCAAGGGGCGTCTGGGGGAGGGGGCTGAGGGAGCCTGGAGTAAACTAAGCTGAAACTCACTCTATTGAGTTTCGAACCCGAGACCTCCCGTAAGGGAGAGAGTGAGTCGGTGAGCAGTGGACCGCTTCCTCTATATGGAAATCACTTTTAAGTAAGAAGTCACAATTATCCTTATTTTTTACCTACTTTTTGCTTGATTTTAAATAAAGTAAGGGTAAATATGGAAAGTCAAAACAAAATTTTTACGTAATTTTGTGTAGGTCAAACCGGTAACATCATCTTGGGACGGAGAGAGTACTAATTATTAAAGCTTGGTTGGTGTAACGCTTATATATAGGTAGAGCTGTCTAATAACTTATATTTAACAAGTTCGAATATTATCTTATACTCCCTCCGTCCCTTATAACTTTGCCAACTTTCCTTTTTTGGTTGTCCCAAAAACTTTGACACTTTCCCTTTTAATCAATCAATTTGTGGCCTCTGTTATTTCTCTCTCCTCTGCACAAATCTCTACCACACAGTTTTTACTTTATTATTCTACGTGCCGGTCAAACTTGGCAATCCTTTTAGGGACGGAGGGAGTATTTAATTTATCGTTTAACTTAAAAGAAGTAAAATCTACAACAACAAACATCAAGACAAGCTCATCAACTTAAACAAATAAACCTTGAATTATACTCCCTCCTTCCCAGTTTAAGGTTTCTATTTTCGTTTTCTGGACGTCCCAACTAAAGGTTTTCAATTGTATTTTAGGAAATAATTAGCACTCCTAAATAATAGTTTAATCACCAATTATTAAAACTAATACATATGTAACATCACAGTTATCATCAATGACCTCATTATATACCCATCAAAAATATTTTTTCAAAGTATACTGAAATTACCCTTATGACCTTATGTAATTATTGCCAAAATAACCATGTCGTCTTGCCATGGGAACCTTAAGCCGGGATGGAGGCAATATATGTTTACATGCAAGCATTTACTTAAGGTTCATCATTAACAATAGAAATAAAGGAACAATATCTTAAAATAAAAAATAAAAATGTCAACAATTAACTAGTTATTAAAACAAACAACAAATTCATAACCAGCAAGGCGAGATAACACTAAAAGTAGAGGATGAAGTAAACAATTAATTAATTTTATCGAGCAACAAATGCTTTTCTTGTATAGAATATTTATAAATCTAAGCTTACGGTAAAAATAATGTGTGGGCTTTAGGCCTAACTACTAACTAAAAACAATAGAGTAATTATAAAATTTAAGAAGGTATTTCCACAATAGAACTAAAGTAATAAATAAGTTTCTCATAGGTCAGAGTAAACAATTGAACATGAAACAAGTCCATAAATAGGACTAGTTATATTTTATTTCTCAGAATATGATTTATTTGGCTCTATTAAAAGAACAAACTCAATATTTTGAAGTGAATGAGTTTTATTTTGAGAATACAAATATATTGATCATGTTTAAGGAAATGTGGTGTGTTTTACTCCTCTAAGGTACCTTACTTTCTCAAACTAATACTTAAAAATGACTAAATGATCAGTGTCATTACAATTAGAGTTACTAGCTACACCACTTAAATAATATGTAATACGACATTTTTTTAAAACAAAACATTTATACATTGAATGTGCTCATGGCTGAGTTATTTGTGTTATTGGACTTGCTTAAATACTCATGTTTTTTTTTGCTTTGCTTTCCTGTTGGTTGGTTTTGAGCAGGTTATTCTGTCGGACTCTAATACTCCCGGGGAAGGAGAACACAAGATAAACTCTTTTATTCGTGCCCAACGAACTTTCCCAGATTATGATCCCAACACTCGGCATTGTCTGTATGGTTTGGTATGCATGTTGCTACTTAGGATTTTTTTTTCACCATTTGTGCCCCAGCCATTTGACACAGTAGTGGAGACCGGGAGGGCTGGAGGGAGCTTCGATCCCCCAAGAAAGAAATTCTAATGTGTATACATATCTATAAATATTTATAATCTATAAAAAATATGTTAACATTTTAAATTCTGGCCCTCGCAACATAATTTTATTCCCCTCCCCCTCACGTTGCTGTTGTATTCTATTTCGTTATTTTACTTGAAAAAATATATACTACGTATTAATACATTAATTACTGTACGTGCAGGATGCTGACCTGATAATGTTGGCATTAGCTTCCCACGAGCTTCACTTCTCTGTTTTGAGGGAGGTAACAGTCATTTTCTTGCAATCTTCATTGCATTCATAATGGATGTTTTGTTTATATTTTATCCATTCATCCTTCATCTGGCCCGTGCAGAATGTGTTGATTCAGGATGACATTTCGAGCGGGTTATCATCTCTTCAGCTTAGCCTCCACAAAGCTGAAAGTCATACTGTGAGTAGTAGAGGGTGGTTTAGAAAGGTGGTTGAACTGGACTACACTACCCGACCTTTTTACTTCTTTTTTACATTTTCCTTCAATATGCACCAAGTACTCGTATGTTTTTGGGGTTTATCTTATTATATTAATGAAATAGATCTTAATTATAGACATAAATGTGACTTAAGTTACTACGAGTACACTGTCATGTTCATTGCACTGTAAAATTGAATATGATCATGGTCCCTAAAAGTACGAATACAGGGTCACTGGCTATAAAACCTCACATTTTGTCCATCCACTATTTTAGTTTTAGTCGTATATTGATCATTTTTGTGTTTTACCTGTGAGAGATGTATTTTAAAGTTTAAATTACTATTTCCACGTCTCTATGGTAACTATTGTCACATTTTTTGATGATTCTGATAAGTTCAGCATGATGATGGTGTTGTTACATGTAATAAGGTGAAGCACTTCCGTGAAGCCAAGAATAAATTTCAGGTCATTTATTTTATAATAGACTTTATTTATTTGTTATTTGCTGCTTGCTTAAGTTTCTTTTTTGTATGTGCAGTTCCTCAATGTTTGGGTGCTTAGGGAGTATTTGGACCTTGAAATCTGCCCAAATCTTATAGAGGATGCTAAAGTTCATCCAAACAATAATAATGCTGGCGCTTACTTTCCAGAAGCTTCTAAATCCCAACTGGACAAAGAGAAAAGAGTGGAACCACTGGAACGTCCAAGTGGTTCTAAAGCTGATTTGGAAAGAGTTATTGATGATTTTGTTTTCATGTGTTTCTTTGCTGGGAATGATTTTCTTCCTCATATGCCAACCCTTGATATTCATGAGGTTTTTTTTTTGTTTGCATTGGCAATCAAAATTATGTTATGTAGCATCTTAATTAGTTATTGTTAACCTATTTATCTACTTTTTTACGCACTGCATGCAGGGGGCTATTGATCTTCTTTTATATGTATACAAGAAAGAGTTCAAGAATCTTGGTGGGTATTTGGTTGATATTGAAAGGGTATGTAAATAATTCTTTGTTATTTCAAAAGTTTCACACACAGTGGAAAGACTGGTTAAATTTCACTGTTGAGTTGTAAGAAAAAAGAAAGTGTATGAGCTGATCGAGCTTTCAAACAGGTTGATGCACCGAAAGGTGGCTGCATTAAGTTGTCCAGAGTTGAAAAGTTTATCCTCTCTGTTTCTGCATTTGAGGAGAAGATATTTATGAAAAGAATGAAAATCAGAGAAAAGAGAAATAGGCGGATTGTGTGTGCAAGTGAGGATGACGATGTGAGTTCATCAAATTTCAATTCTAGCTAGGATTTCTGAAGTTTTAGCATGTTTGTGGTGGCCTGCAACACTTGGATTTCAGAAGTTTTAGCCTGTTTGTTTGTTTGTTTGTTTATTTGTTTGTTTGTTTATTTGTTTGTTTTTACAGCTGCAGGACGAGGAGGGAAACAATGATGTAGTTTTTGATTCAAAAAAGGGCGTTGACATCTCCGCCCTAGATGTATAGTTCTTGTTTGTGTCATATGCATATAGTTCTTCTCACAGTATTAGTTGTTTTGTTTTTCCCGCACTAGATGTATATTTTTTTGATGGGGAGGATATCTCATGCATATGTATGTGTTTATTTAACGATCAGTACGTGCTTGTGATTGAGTGATGCATAACTTTTATTAATTTGTAGATTCTTGAAAATACAAAGGAATTGAAGCAGAAGTTGAAGGACAGCCTCCGTCATAATGCCGATACCTTCAAACATGGTGTAGTTGGAGATAAGGTTGGTTAATCAATGCCTATATATCCCCACTCGCTCATACTAGTACTACTACTACTACTACTATTGTTATTATTAATTTATTATTAATAGTTTATTTTTAAGTAGCACCCGGCCACAATACCATATTTTTTTAGGCTGGAGGGATTCTCAAGTATGTCTAAATCAATCTTACTACGTACTACATGAACTTAATTACTTTACTGTTTGGAACAGGTAAAGCTTGGTTTTCCTGGTTGGAGGGAGCGATATTACATGCAAAAATTCAAACTGCAAAGCCAAGCAGATGTGGAAAGAACTCGAAGGGATGTTGTATGTTTTCCCAATCAATAAAATTTATTGATAGTTAGCATTTGCTTAGGCTTTGTGTGTCCTTAACTTACTTAAGATTCTTTGTACCTTGCTTTATTTGTGGCAGGTTACACACTACACCAAGGGCCTTCTTTGGGTCCTATTATACTACTTTAAGGGGGTACCATCTTGGGGCTGGTAAGTAACTATTACCCATGCATATATAGTTTAGTTTGTCAATGGAAAATACAATAATCTATTGCGTCTGCATTGTAAATCTACACCAAGATACAGTCATCTAGATTGTTGCATTAAGGGGGGTGTGCTATGCAATGTTGGGACCTGAGCGTTGTGAATTGATGCATCTACACACACATATAGATGATGATGATGATGAATGGATTGGTGCTATATATATTAGGTACTACCCATATCATTATGGCCCGTTTGCTTCAGACATGAAAGGGATGGCACAGACAAATGTGAAATTTAAGATGGAAGAACCTTTTAAGCCCTTTGATCAGCTAATGTCGGTCCTTCCTCCTGGGAGGTAAGAACTGTGCACATGTGCACACTCTCTCGCACATGCATTCATTTCTTTAATTTATCTTTGGACCGAGCTGAGGGGCAGTGGCTCGGTATATATGTCTAACATGTAATTCCATTTTCTTCGGCCAGTGCTCATGCCCTCCCAAATGCATACCAAAGGCTCATGCAGGATGACAAGTCAAGCATAATTGATTTTTACCCTATGGGTAAGGCGGTAATTCTTGCCACATTTAGTAGCACCATATTAATTAGTTCACCATATTAATTAGTTTAGAGCTTATCACCACTTTTGGGATAGACCGATGTGCTCATTTGCTGTTTTTTCAGACTTTGAGACGGATATGGATGGGAAAAGATTTTTGTGGCAGGTTGCATTTCGTTCCCAGTTTTACACTCAATAAATCAAGCTTTTTCTTCCTTAATTACCAATGAAGTAAAAATTGCCAATGTTTGTGTCTTCAATCTTTACTGGCGAAGGGTATAACAAAATTGCCATTCATAGAGGAAATGCGTCTTATGGCGGAGACAAAGAAGCTTGATCTAAGCCTCACGGTACATATTTTGTTTGAAATGAAACCTTTGAAATTTCTTTTTCTATTCTTCCATGTTTGATTTTGAGAGGCATTAATTTACGTGCGGGCACAACGATAGAGTCAAAATTACTAACATCTTGATTTTTTATTTTATCCATTCATTTATAAAAGAACACGGAAAAGCAACTACTTTTAACAATGTTCTGTGGTTCTTGTAATTTTTTATGCTCGCTATATATGCTTTACACAAGGACTAGGAGGAGTTAGAATTTTTCATGAATAAAAGAGAAATGGTGTGTGCGTAGGAAGATGAGCGGAAGAGAAACGCAGAGATGAAGGAGCAGTTGTTCATGGATAAATCATGTGCACTGGCAGTGCATATTTTGTCTTGCTTCAAAGAAGGTAGCAGCAGTGGTCTATACGAGAGTAATCCCATAAAAGTTGATGGTTCGGCCTTGAGGTAGCAGCTTAGTCAAAGCTTTATGCATAAATAGTAGTGTATCAGCAAGCAAGCTAATGTTTTTCAGAACATATTATACATAAGCGTTTGGTAAACGGTTGGTTTTATCTATTAACTATTTTCTGTGCAATGAATTGATCTTCCAGGGGTGGCGGAATTTGCGGTATGGTATGGCAAAATAAAGACCATAGCAGTGATGCACCAGGAAACACTTTGTAAGACTGACTGTTTTTGCTATGAAATTGAAGGCGTGAGTGAGGTGCATAGCTGTGCTGTGTTGGTTAATTTTCCTTTTATTTACCCCCCAGGTGCGTGTTTTTTCATGTATCTCCAATCTCTCCTTTTATCCCCCGAGTATTAGCTGGTACGGACTACCCCGAAAAGGTAAGTTTCCAATATAAAACACATTTGATCCATGCATGATATGCAAAATAAATGTTCAAAAAGTTGAGAATAAATCATTCAGCTGCGGGGTGTTGTGCAGATGGTGAGTGAAGTTGATATTGATAAAACAGTAGTACTCTGGCATGAAGAATTCCATGGCAGAACTACAGCCAGTTGTTACAGGTGACTACATCAGCCACCAACCTTCGCTTTTGATCCTTCCTTCTTGTAGATAGATAGGTTGTACTAATCTAGATTACATTTTGCAGCAGCAACAGCAGGCCTCTTCCTCCTCCTAACTATCAAAGCTCCAAGGATATACCAAATGATGATGGTGGCAGAAAAGGTGCCGGGGGCTCTGGATGGAATAGCAGCGGGAAGACGCGTTGTCGACCCGAATTGCAGAAGCATAACAGATACACCCCGCTGCCACGACCCCAATGTGCACAACCCCCAACACCCATGCCAGTTTCTGCTCCAAGAAACCAATGGCAGCGGCATCAACCCCCTCCTGTCGCAATGCCATCCTATCAGGGCGGGCCGCGATACAACAATAATGTCATCAGTTCTCCGTGGCAGGGTTGCGGGGTGAATGATTCTAGTCCACCAATGTCAGTTCCTGGTCCAAGAAATCCATGGCAGCGGCATCAACCCCCTGCTGTCCCAACATCATATCAGGGCGGGACACGATACAACAGTAATGTCATCAATTCTTCGTGGCAGGGTTGCGGGGTGAATGATTCTAGTCCAAACACAATGTCAGCTTCTGCTACAAGAAATCAATGGCAGCGGCATCGCCCCCCCACTGATGCACCATCATCATATCAGGGCAGGGCACGATACAACAATAATGTCATCAGTTCTCCGTGGCGGGGTCAATGATTCTAGTCCCGCTGATTCATGTAGGTGGAAGGGGAAATGATCTAGTTGGCAGGCAACACAATAGATAATCAGTAAGGTCTAGGGCAGACTGGCCGGCTGCTCAACCGCCTCAACGTTTTGCTTTAGCTCGTCCTTTTGACCGATCTGCCAACGAGTCAGATATGTGTTCTGGCGTTTTTCTCTTTTTGAGTGCGAATGATGAAGATGAAGATTCTCTTGGGGCTTTACTTTATAGTAATAACTTTAAATATAAGATGTCCATTTTGTGACGACCTCTACTTTTGAATGCTAATCTAATGTAGTCAGTAGTCTAGTAATATGCATGGTCCTTTTGTGAAGCCTAATGAGAGTTGGACAGTATTCACCATAAGTATATTTGTGAGTACTATTGTTGGCTTAAATAGCCAGTCAGCAATACAAGAGTATATATACATTAGAGGTGGACTCGGGCTGGGTGGCCCGACCCGGAACCGGCCCGGGACCGGTACTGTTCCGTCCTGGGACCGGTTCGGGTAGGCCTGGCCAGGCTGGGCCCTTCGGACCTTTTATTTATTTTTTGTTTTTTCAATTTTTTTTTATTTTTCAGGGTTGGGCCATTTGGGGTGGTGAGGTGGAGGGCTATTAGGGGATTAATTAGAAAAAAATAAGAAGTGGCCCGACGCCCTACCCGGCCCGGACCCGGTGGCTACCCGGTCCGGTCCCGGGCCCAACTATTCTGAACCGGTGGCCCGCCCGGGCCTAGGCCCGACCCGGACCTGGCCTGGCCCGAGTCCACCCATAATATACATTTGGATACTCACAACAATATTCAATATAATATTACATGATACATGCGTATATAGTGTGAGTTCTGTGAAATGAGACATTATTTAGAGACATCCATAAAAAGAAAGTTTTAAGTTTTTAAGGGATGGTTGGAGTATAATGACAATATTAATATTTGTATGAATGTTATTATTTAATTTCAATGTCAAGAGGAAATCTAAGAGAAACTATATTGAATATGATGATGAGCTGGAAAGTGAGGTTGCTCCTTGAATATAATCAACCTGCCATGATTACAAGGCATGTGCTTGGAGAGGTAATTAAGTTGGCGGTTCATCTGATCTGACCTCCGGTTGTACTGGCGTCTCCAACTTTGGCAGAATGGTGAGTGTTTACGTTCTTCCCTAACTCCAAGTCCCCTGATTGATGATGCTGATCTGCAGGCGGCTTCGCGGGCTTGCCAAGAGGATGACGATGACCATTATTGTAAGTGTCATTATTATTGTGATGATTGCTTCTTTTGCTGCACAGCCTATTGGCAATGCAGGCCAACACGCCTAAAACCAAGATTGCCCCGAGGACCAAAAATGCCATCCCGTACGATCCGTTTGAGTGGGACGACGACGATGATGCTGAGGATTGAGATGGAAGGTTGCTGTCTGGATGAGTTGGGACATTGTTGTAGGGATAAATTTGGGGTTGGAATTGTTGAGACATTTATTCTTTTATCTTTCTAAGTTGGTTGAGAAATATTGGTTTGGTCTTGTTCTCTTTAAAGGGGCTTTGCCGCTTTGGGTTCTTTGAGTGGACACAAAGAGAGAGTTTTGATGAAGTAATAGGGAGGCAAAATGATCGAGGAGTTTTCCTCCCCCTATTGGTAATCTACTTTATGATAATGTTTGGTTTCTTATGTTCTCATCAATATATAGACTATTGGGATGCTGTTAGCCTAGTTAATTCATACATGTTACACGTTTTAAAGGTGTACTGTGTACATGCAATTTTTTAATAAAAATACGTTTAAAACAAAAAAATAAAGCTGACCTGTTTAAAGTGGAGTTTTCTGCTTCTTGAGTTTTACAAAAAACTGAGAAAAACATCTTCTCCCTGTACTTTATAAAAAGAGAAAATTGCTTCCGGTAAGACTAAATGATAGCAACTTTACAAAAGTAGAACTTAGTTATGTTTTTTCTATGCGTGTGACTTATTTGGTTCTGTTTTAAGAAATCATATTTTTACTTTCCATTTTTACCCTTGACTTGAGTACTCCATCTGAAAATTAAAAATACAGAGCGACTTCCCCAACTCCCGTTTACGTCTCTCCCGCCTCACCAGTACTAAAATGTTGCTCGCTAGATAGGGAAGCTTGAAATCGGTCAGATACATCGGCTACATTCCGTCAGATCTTCGATTCGGATTCTACCATTGCAGAATCAACACCTACGGCTCTAACGACACTCTGATTTTCGAAAACCATGCAAATAGAAGCCTTCCAGCTTTCCACGGGCACCATAAATGGCCACTGACAATCACACGATGGGAGTTCACCGTTGATCTGCACACCCTAACTCGGGTTGTGACATCCATTGTTCTATCAGTTGACCTTTTGATCAACAATTGCCTACGACTTCTCATCCCGGAGTTTCTGGACAGCCACTCGAGGTAATTTCATCATTGGAATTTGGAAATAATGAATGGTAGATATTGTGTTTTATTTTACCTGGTCTGCTATTATACTATAATAATTGGAATTTATTGTCTATTTATTGACTACTTATTGTCTATCTATTGTCTGTTGTTTTCCAAGTTTGCTTTTGGTCATACATTCTCTCTTAATGTCCGAGAAGCCCCCCACCCCCACCATGAAGCTACAATAAATATAGTTGTTGATATCATCAAACACCAAATGAAAATGCATATAGAAAATTAAAGTGTATGTTCTAAATGACATTTTATTCTATTAGTTCAACACTACATTCACTTTGTACTTACTCTTAATGTTGTGTATGCTATTTTAGGTTATATACTTAAAGAAAAGACTTGATCATGTTGTGAGTTTCAACTAGAGTAGTTCATATGTGTTCATGGTGTTGCTAATGTGGATCAACGTCAAGGACTAGTGTGTTATGATTGCATCTCCAATATTGGTTCTCGCTTTGAATCGGGGCTTGTTGACTATATGCAGTCCACAACGTGCAATCCACCTACATGTCTCACACGCCAATTCTGCAGACATAAAAGAAGTGTGTGTTTTACCTTCAGCTAGAGGCTTTGCTTCTTGACACCGGCAACGGTGTTCAAGTTGTAAGAAAGACGGGCACAATAAGAAGCATTGTAGGAATCATATTCCAATTCATAGCTCTTAAGTTCATAGTGTCCTATCACTTTCATTTTATTTAATCTAATAATTGTTGTAAGACCTTTAGTTTTGTTTTGCTCACAAATTTTAATTATCACGGTTTGTTGGGAATGGAGCTTATGTTAGTTGTAATGGTTTGGAGATAATGTTATTTTCTTTTTTGTACTCAATTTTAATGAATAATAGCCATTTCAAAAACAAAGTGAAATATTTGATCAAGATTGCATTCGATTTCTAAATATAACCTATGACTGTATATGTTTATTGTCTTCTTACTGTCTAGTTATTGACTTTTATTGTATAATTAATGTCTAACTTAGATAAACATTTTTGAATAATTACCATTTTTGACCAAGACATTCAAGTAGGAACTCCCTTTTATATACAATAGAAGTTTATTAATATAAGCAACAACTGATCTATAGATTTATTAAAAGATCAGACAATAGTTAATTTTCGACGTCTTTTTTGTATTTGAACTATTTAAGTTACCTTTAGATGATATAACTAAAGTCTTGATTTCTTAATTACCTACTTTTAAGACATCTTTCTTAAATAATTTGACTATAAAAGACATACGTGATTACTTTTTGGATATTGATTTGCACCACAAATAATATGTGACATTAAGTAGAATTTAATGTCTGCATTCTGGCATAAAATAGACATTAATATAGGTCTTAATACGGAGTATAAAAGGGATAATTGCATCTGTACAACTTAACCACTTAAATACGTTCAAACATGAAACAAATGTGCAAATAACACGTATTCAAGTGTCAAATTACGTATTAACCACCACAGATGTGCTTGTTTATGATACATATGACAAGAACCATTTAGTAAAGCTATTTTGTGTTGATACATATAAAAGTAGCTCCGTTGTCATCTTTTCTCGTCACATCTCCATGTCGTCATTTGAAACCTTAGTAGCTTCCATATCAAACATAGGGAATCATCAATTTTTACCACAAATATCCCCACAGTTCCACCTGCAACATGGCAACATATTAATTTCCCTAGCATTTTAACCGTTAAAAATGAATTGAAGCTATTAAGTTTATGTTGTACATTCCCATCTTGCTGTTATGGACGGTTGCGCACCATTTCAACACCACTTTTACTTTCACATTGAACAATGGTGTGATCTTAGCCAATTCCTAACTTAAAGTGTGACACCGCACCCGGATGTATTTGAATGTGAAAATTCAACATATATTTGAATTTCCTAGCGAATAAAAATTGTGCACGTAATGATTTATTTAATTAATGTGTAATTAATTAAATTATTTATCGGGCCCATAATATTGAGAATGAGCTACCAAATATTTAGTTGGGTCATCATAATAATTATAGGAGCCCAATATAATGTCAACTAAAGTTGAGAAAAATGTTTGGGCAACCCAAGTGCGATTTTGATTCAACCTGCCAGAAATAGCGGTAATAATTGGGAGGGACTTCCTATACCCACTTGGGGATTTTCTTACATGTCTTGTAGATTCCAAATAGTAGGATTTGGATAACTTAAAATGAATGAGTCGACATATGGATGAGGGGAGAAGTTGAAGGCACGTGCAAGCTTCCCAAATGGCCCTACCCTCCTTCCTATTATTGTGAGCAACTGGTTGTGAGGAGACTTCCTCTATCATTTTGCATCCTACGGATGATTTGAGAGAAGGGGGATCTCTAGAAGAGAGCAAGAAGGGAGCAAATCCAAAGAAAATTAGCAAGAACACAAGGTAAGAATCCAACTAGTACTCTTTCACTAGTATTTTATTCATATGATTTTCAAGAAATCATAGGGTGGATTAAACCATGAGTTCTACATGTTTAAAAGTGTAGAATATTGTTATAAAGTGGTGATATTTAACTTAGAAGAGTTGGTGAATCGATAGGAGTCGAAATCGCCGGAAACCGCCACTCAAAAGGAGATGCTCAAAACTGCAGAACCCGAAAGCCGCACAGCTTTCACGAAAGCCGCTCGGCTTTCACCCACTGTCCAGATTTTCCATTTCCGATCGGTCTAGAATGAGGACGGATCGAGGGATTTCGCTAAGGTAGCTAGTTGAGCACATCATAAGGTGAAGATGACTAACTATATTGCTTATAATTAGTGAGTTAATTTCATGAGATTACCTAAGGTAATGAAATGTGTTTTTATGGATTATTAATGATTAATAATGCCTAAGAATGAGGAGACTATTGTCTATAAGGAAAGGAGCATGATATACAAATTTAAGAGTAAATTGTGTATGATCATGTGTTATGAGTATGTTGACTTGATAGTGGAATTAACTATGAAACTTATGTTGAAATATACTTTTTACTTCATATAAGAATATATGAGTGATTAAAAGTGATATTTTGTATATTGATAAAAATGATACTTTCAATAGAAAATCAGTTTGGAATTGTCTATATGACTATGAACGGAGAACTTGGATTGTTGGAATTAGTCCGATTAGTATTGATATACTAGTCGTGCATTAAAGTGAAATATTGCTAGAATTGATCCTAGAGTTGGATTGTGAAATGTTATGCCTTAAGTAGTCTTAAGAGATGCTTTAAGGTAGGAAGGTATGAACTTTAAGTTATACTAGGGGTAGGCCTTAAGGGATACCCATGATAAATTGAATAATAAATTGATCCTAGATATAGGATTGGCCTACGGGTGTGTTCGGTAGTCTTTGAGGATAGCCGGTTGAATTATGGTAATAAGTAAGGACCATGTCTCTTCCCGACTCTAGAGAGCGGGGTTGGATAGCATGGACTTGCAACGTGATCACGGGTTAAGGTGGAATCCGAATCGGAGACCTAACTAGGCTCTGACAGCGGTAACACATAAGATAGGACCCTGAAGGGCCTTACCTTCCTACAGGATGATGGGTATGAGTCCAGGGGTGGGATGTTGGAATCCGAACCGATGACTTTATGAAGCCTCGGACAGCGGTAGCAAGTCCCGTAGAAATAATAAGACCTACGGGTTGTGTCGTGGGAACGATGAATGAAATGGAAAATAAGAAGGGGCCGTGTGCCGACCAATTAATGAATCAACTTATTATAAAGATAATAAGGGGAAATATAAATTATTATTTATATTATGATATCACCCTATTTTGAGGGTCTTAGAAATTAAAACATGGATTATATTCGGTGTAGTTGTCATTATACTTTTCAAATGCTTCAAAGTACTTACCTCCCCTTCACGGGGGAGGCCACCTCACAGTTTCAGGTAGAAGTTGAGCTTGCTACCAATACTCGTTGCTTCAAGGGAGGATCTAGGAGTGAACACGTGGTTCGTGCTTCCTCCGTTTCTGTTTTAAAAAACAATCACATTAATGCTCATGAATATTATTTTCTGAATAATTATTTGGGGGCTTGTATG